CTGTATATAAGGCACTGTGTTTGTATAACTCATTGACAAGGATGCCTGCAGCGCCAGGACAACGTTATGACATCACATTCGCCGTTGAGTTTAGATTTGTGAACATTTACAAATTTGCACTGTTCGAGTGTTGTCATTGTGTTAGAGAGAGTAAACGTCATGAATAAATTTGACATTAAACATAATCCAAGTTAAAGTGTTACATAATTTTCAGCCCCCTTTTGGGCATCTACATCTGCTAGCAGGCCAAACTGACAAAGGCCATGCAGAATAATGTAGTAATTTAATTCCACAGCAGAGAAACCTATGCAGTCTCTGTAAGTAGGTCTAGGAAAAACAATATCGGTATTGGTATTGGTTATCGGCCAAATAAGTTTTAATGTATCGGCATATCAGATATCGACCAAAAATCCAATATTGTGTATAGTGAAAACAAAGCCACGTTTCCCTTCAGAACTATAGCTTTTTACATTTTTAGTTGTAGTTTCTTTATGTTTAACTCAGTAACCTATAAGTTAGTCTGAAGGGACTCAGATCAGGGTTTTCTTGTCACCAGTTATTAAAAGCTGACACCCTACAGTCAGCTGAGACCAAATATTTATCATGTAAGTTTAGTCTTAAACTTAGTATTTTAAACCACACCTAAAATTATATTTAGCTACCAGTAAGTTTGTGACGACTGATTATAGGCAGATGAAATACCTGAGATGCAGACGTGGCATTACATAAAATGTCTACGGTATAGTTCTTGCTAAACCTGTAAAAAAAATAAAAAACTGAAAGATTGCTTTGATGATGAAGGTATACTTCTCTGGTGACCTTGTTCAAAGAATTTATCTCTTCAGTCGCAAATCTGTCAAGCTAACTTGTGTTGGTAGCAGCATGTAGCTTTAAAACAAATTAACTGCAGCAGCGTCAACTTTTATTTTTCTGTTTGTATTTTCTTAATGATGCTGCACCTCCACTGCTTGACACAAAATGTAATATGAATGTTTGCTAATAGACAAAAATACGTTTTTTTGCCCATTTCTCATGTTTTTCCATTTTTTAAGAAGTTTATAAATAGCATCACCTCAGATTCCATTTTCTGTTCTGATGATTGCTCCCCTCATGTAACTCACGAGGAGGACACGGATGAACTCAGCGCAGACCGTCCCTCCCACCTCATTACACATACGGCCTTCTTTCCAAGAAAAACAGCGCGGGAGATATGGACAGTGTCTGTCTAAATAACTTGGACATAAAAAGCCTTTCATAACGTGATGTTTTCAGCGCAGTGTCTGCGGGCATTCTCCGTTTGTGCACACTAACACCCCAAAAAATGTCAAATATGTCTGCGCTCCCCCATCAGAGGATGTGTGCACGTTAAGATGCATTTGAAGCAGTTTAATGAAGCGTGGCCAAACGCTAGCTAAAGCAGCCGCCACACAAGTTTGACTGTTTCACTGAAGCAATCAAGCCTGAAACAATGTAGGCTCTGCTACAGGGGAGAACCGACCTCTGCAATGTCTATGTGACTTTAATTCAGTACTATTTCAATTTTTTTTGTATAAAGCACATTGGTTTACATGCCAGCTTAAGGAATCCATTGTTTGTGCTTTTATTTGGTTATTAATGTTTCCACTCCCTCTTTTTTCTTCCGTTGAATCCAGTGCACTACCTCTTGTGGGTCGGGCTACCAGATGCGAGCAGTGAAGTGTGTGGTGGGCTCCTATGGTTCTGTGGTGGATGACACTGAATGTAATGCTGCCACACGACCCACAGATACCCAGGTGAGGAGGGTTTATTCATATCACTAAACACTTCAGGAACAGACGCAAACATAAGCCTAACCTATTCTTGAAATATATAAAGTCAACCCAAACCTGTCTGATTTTTATCTTGTAAAAAAGCACAGAATGAAATCCTATTTTAACCTGATCATCCTCAAATAGACACACAGCTGTCAAGTCTGACACCGCGTGAACAATGATGAAACCTTCAATAAAACCAGGCCTGAAACGGCCCCAGACAACTTGCAGATATTGCCATCTTTGAGTGAACGCAAACATAAAAGCATAAAATCAAACACATTATAAGAAAAATAAATTCACTGTCCAACACAGTAAAATTATTTGTATTTTCAGAAACAAAGAGAGACTAAACAAAACCAAAAAAAAAAAAAAAAAAACGAGAATTTGCATTTCCAGTGAAAATGCAGTGTGAATGCTTCTTGCTGAAGAACCTGCTGAAAAACAGCAGAAATGAGCTAAAAACATTCAGAAATGTAGCTGAAAAGGAAGAACAACCCTAAGTTAGCAGAAGAAAGCAGAAGTGGAATTTATCTTTAAAAAGCTGAAATTTTCCCAAAACAGCTGAATAGTAGCTAAAGAAATGTAGAAAGAAGCTTAAATTGCCTAAAGGAAGTGAAGTGAGCTTAACTGTGCCCACTAAGTCTGAAAGAGGCAGAAATTAGCACAATAAAGTTGAAATTATCTGAGAAAAGCTGTAATTTGCAGTTGAACAGTAGCTAAAACAATCAGAAAGAAGCTTAAATTACCAGATGGAAGCGGTAGAGAACGATTTTGCTGAATTAGGCTGAAAAAAGTTGAATTGATACTGTCCAATACAGTAAAATTATTTGTTTTTTCAGAAACAAAGAAAGATGCACAAAAAAAACCCCACCAACAACAACCCCCCCCCCCCCCCCCCAACTTGATTTCTATTCTGTGGTTGAAAACATTTGCATCCCATCCACTGAGTTTTCTAAAAAGTGGAGAGTCAAGCTTTTAACTTAGATACATTGATGGCAATCTACTGGTCAATCTCTAAGGTATTATGGGTAGATGGCATGGCATTAAAAAAATAGACATCAGCATATCATCCATCCGCACTATGAAATTTGTCACTTGATTGACAGACAGAGCAGCCAGTCTGAGGCCCCGTTTATACGACGTGAAACGTTCGGCCGTTTATTTAAAGACAACAGCCCTCATTCTTTCTGAAACCGAAGGTTTCTGAATCCAGGTCTCAGAGGAAGCCCCCACAGAGGTGTGAAATGTTCTGCAAGTGAGATCGCACATGGGCACTACAGGCGGCTGCAGTCCAAAGTTTTTCTGCACTAACAACAGTTATAATAAATAACAACAGTTATAATAAATAACAACAGTTATAATAAATAATAACAGTTATAATAAATAGCAGAGAGCAGAGTGTTTTTATGCTGCTCACTCTTTTTCAGCATGTAGGAGCAAAACTAATAAAATCCAGTTCCAAAGAGATGTTAGTGTATTCACCAGTTTGGTCGTAACTGTCATGCAGACGCTGCATGTGCAATGAATGCAGCTGTCAGGGTTGCCAGATAAATTTACACTGTCTTATTTACCCCCTCCTTTCTGTGCACATGTTTAACAAACACAGCACACACCTCATCTTAGAATACTTTACTCAGCACGTGACAGTTTAGGTCAAATACTATCAGTTTAAATTGACAGTACAATGGTTCATAATTTCTTATCTGGCAACCCGACTAATATGGGAAATACAGCGTTTTTCATGTAAACCCACCCATTTTTTGTTTATTACCCCCAATAAACATTGAAAAAACACTAACGTTTCCAGATGTTGTTCTCATGTAAACGGCGCCTTATAGTAGGTAGATCACTTTGACTTGGTCATTTCAAAAGTAGCTCGCATGCTGAAAAAGTGTGGACTGGACACCCCTGTTCTAACTGCATGAGATGCTCTGATGTTTGAACTGGAGTCACAGGAAGATTAATCTTACTCCCCTCCTGCTGGAGCATCATTAGGGTCTTTCTTTGTTTGCCTCACAAACAACATGTGAGAGATGCTTTGTTCACATGCACGAAGGTATGAATTAAAGGGTAAATAACTGGGTGTCAGGCTGAATGCTACATTGTCGTTTTTGACCCCGTTTACACATGAGCAATCTCCTGGAAACACTAGAGAATTTCTGATGTTGACTGTGAAAAAGTTACACGTTAATACAGTAAAGCTGTGATTGCAACCACTATTTGGACAAGACTGCAAAAAATGTTGAATCCACTGTAGATTCCATGCCAGGTCACCTGATGCTATGATTTATGTATTTCGGTGACATTCGTATGCACACACCCTTCAGTCTCAAGCTTGAAAACAGTTACAGGCTTGTTCAATATTTGTAGAATCTGATAAATGCATCTCTGCTGTCCCGAGTGATGATGTAGCACATATATGTCCTGTGTCAGATGCTTTGATAAATTAAAGAGTGAGCAGCACATACAGCTGTCTACTGTCCCCTGTTGTTACTGTTCTTCATCTACTTGCACAAATGCAGAAAAAAACAGTTGACTCCGTTGTGCACGTGTTCAGATCCCCACCAACGCTGAGTGTTCCCAAATATGATCGCTGTTATCGTGTACACAGACTGTTGAAATGCTCCAGTTTCACTTATAAATAATGTGTCAACAGGGCCTTAGAAAGCTGAAGGGTGAGACCTCCTCTTCTGCTTGAAGTTGTTTTTCCTCATTTGATGTAAAAAGCTTCCTCCACCATCTTTTTTCTCAGCCCAGAATATAAACATTTAAAGCTTGGAACACGGCTGTCTAGTTCTGAGTGAAAATAGCTCCCCTGATGGGAAGCTAAACAGCTTCTACTACAGAATACAAGTTCATCTTTTTATTTTTTACTTTTAATTATTTTGTATTTCACATTTTGAATACTATTTTCAGGCAATAATCAAAGTCTGGCTAGAGAAAACAGCTTCTTTTAAAAAATATATATTTTTTTAATTGAGAACAGAACCCATTCAGATGCTGTATCATCTTTATTCAGATTAAGCTAATCTGAATCATTTGTTAAATGTAACTTCAGTTTTACAGAATAAAATATTTGTTACACTCATCTTTTGAGCCCTAATTTATTAATTCAGATACAACAACATAAAAGTTCAATGAATTGTCTTCATGAGGAAATTAAAGTGTCTATGACGCTAGTTTTTATTTTATTTTGTAAAAACAAAAATAACTATTCATAAAATGTTTTGTTCTTGATATATGTGACTAATTTAAATGGTTTTCTTCAGGTCCTACCGTTCTTACTCACAATTTCTTTTCTTACCTGCAGGTTTTTATTCTACCTGTTACAAGCTGAACCATGTCTCCATGTTTCCCTCTGAAAATATCTCTTCTTAAAAATATCCTGGCTTGTGAAAGTAGACGTTCATGATGTTTTAAACTAGTTATCGAATTTTAATTACTCATTTCAAACAGACTGTTATAAGTTTTTTTAGTATTTGAATTGAGGGTTTATCTGGATGTCTTGTACATCTATCTTGTTGTAGCCAACGTTTTCAAATTGTAGTCATTTATCATAAAAATAAGAAACACAACGAGAACCTAAAAGATAGTTCATAACTTTTGAAGTGGTGTTCTGGTGAAATGTTGTGAAATACAAGCGTTTTACCTGTTGTAGATAGATCTTTGAACGATCTCAGGTTGGAGAAGCAACGTTTATTCCTGATCAGAATGACAAGCTAACAGCTCGTTGTTGCTAAGCCAAGACCAAAGTGGATTGTTGCTGTCTCATCTTTCTTGACTCCAATCTCAAAACTTTCCATGAGGTTCAATGAGAGCTACTGTCAAAAACATTAAATCACTGACAGTTTATTTGCTTTTATGGATATTTTAAGTAAACTCAGTAGCATGTCCAGTGCAGCCTGCAGCACTTTTCTGCAGCAAAATCATGATATTTTTGTCACTATAACCATGTAACCCAAATCTGGAGGTGGTCTGAAGGAAAATATTGATTCCATGAATTGCGTTACATATTTATGTGATTTCACTTGTTTTGTGCTATGGAACGGTGCATGTAGCACTAGTTGTTAACTTTCCAGTCAGGATAACTCAATACCCACAAAAGGCAAGATAATAAATGTTCATAACCTTACCAGAGAAACACACTTCAAATGATCTGAACTATCCTTTTAAGGTTAACTAATCTATTGAATATCAATTATAACCATTCTCCTAAAGAAAACATGTTAACTGTGACTTATATCCCTGAAGAAAACCAACTAAAATAATATCCTAGTTTCATATTTTCTGCCTCTTTCACCAGCTTTAAATACGACTACGAATGACACGGGAAAACGTTTGTTTGTTCCTATATTTAGTGTCAACGCACACACACAAACCAACACCAAAGAAACCTGCAGCATTTTGAGCTGAATGGGAGTTTTGTTTGGTCAGCATGGGGCGTAAGCCCACTTCAGAAGGCTGAGCCTGCAGAGTCACGATGAGGCCCCCCTCTAGTTGCAGCAACTCTTAATTCCGGTGCTTGGGTCGGCAGAGATCGGTGACCAGTGACCCTGAAGCAGTCGCCCCACCTCGTTATCAGCCAGCCATGAAGTGGGCCACCAGGCTGCTAGTCCCACCACCACTCACCGCCAAGCAGCGCTTAGAAAAAGAGGGGATTAACGGATGAAACGCTGAGCATTAGAAGGAAAGTCAAGATTGTTGGCTTTTTATTTTCGCACAGGGATTGAACAGACACTAACATGTTTAGATTTCCTATATGGCCTGTTAGACTTGGGTGTACAGCAGGAAGTGTGCGCAGAGCCTCCCCGAGCGCAGCAGTGAGTCCCATTTGTTTCTTTTAGGAAGCAGAGTGTGGAATGTGTAGTCTACTCAGAGTCTGTGCGACCTGATTAGGCCCTCATTCCTCTACACAGGGGGTCAGAGGGCACCAGAGGGCAGAGGTGGGTGGGTGGGGGGGGGGGGGGGGGGGGGGGGGCAACAAGGCGGAAGGTGAGGGACTAGAGGGTGGATTAGGGGTGGAGTTTCTAACCACGCCAGCATGGGCATTGGAGCCCTGAATACCACTCCACTATGACCTGTTATGACAGGGATCAGGGCTTTATGCTGAGTGGGTTACTGCTGCAATCCATAGTTTGAACTGACAGCGCAGAGCCTGTTAATGTTGTTTTGATAAGGTGGAGGGGGGGATGGGGAAACATACCCACTACAGGGCTGAAGATTTATAGTTTAAGTTGGTAAGGATTGCCGTCTCTGATATTCATGGTGTTTTCTTGTCAGGGACAGACAGAGGGTGTGGTAGCGCAGAGGCTAGAGAAGGTGGGCCTGTGATCAGAAGATCGCCGGTTCAACTCCTGGTACTGACAACATCAAAATGTGGGTGGAAAAGTGAAGCACCCACACCTGTCTCCACCCTCATTTGCTCCAATCTGGGCCCTTGAGCAAGGCCCATCTGCTCCACCCGGCTCCCAGATAGCAGCTCTCTGCTCCACACAGAGGGCTGTGGTAGCTCGGTGGTCTGTGGTTGTGTCAGGAAGGGCATCCGGTGTAAAAATAATTGCCAAGTCTTCGTGCGAGTTGATTGGCTGTGGCGACCCCCTGAAGAAGGGAGCAGCCGAAAGAAGAAGGAAAGAAAAGGACAGACGTTGCTACAGTGTATTTATGTTGGTAATCACTGCATGTATCTTGTGTTTCACAGGACTGTGAAGTAGCTCAGTGTCCCAGCAGCCAACCAGTTCCCCCAGGAACTAAAGTCCCTTCTCACCAGGGCCACAAAACCCAGTGGCGTTTTGGTTCCTGGACTCAGGTTAGTTCTCACATTTTCAGCCCATCAGCTCATCTACTGGTCTCCAGTTTCTTAACGTTTCTCTTCTTACTGACAGTGTAGCGCCAGCTGTGGCAAAGGGTCGCGGATGCGCTACGTGAGTTGCCGGGACAACCATGGCGGGGTTGCAGAGGAATCGGCATGCATTCACTTGCCAAAACCCCCTGCCAGGGAAGTTTGCTCGGTAGTAGCTTGTGGGCAGTGGAAAGTGCTGGAATGGTCAGCGGTAAGAACGACACCAACGTTATAAATGTTCATAAACCTTCATTTTTATGTTTTACTTCACATAAGATATGGCTGTTTTGTTTCGTTTTTTTAATATAATTTTCTTCCATTTATGTTTTCAATTTACATGTTTTCTTTTATGATTGTCTACTGTTGTCATCACTCTTTGTTAAAACAGGTCTCTCTTGTAAATGAGTCCCCGAGGCTCAATGGGACTAACCTATATAAATAAAGGTTGAATGAATGAATGAACGATCACTCAGTACCCCATTTTAAAGAAATACTTCAAATAATTTGAAATGAGCTTTTGTGGAAAGGTTAGGAACAATGAATATCTTACCTGCTGCAGAAGGTGTTTTGAATGATCTCTGTTTGGACAAGTAGAGTTACAATTTGACTGGACTGACATACTGGGTATGTTTACATGGACATAAGTAACCGGATCAAATGGCCGGTCGGAATAAAAGTGTGTCATGTAAACACTCCGTTCGGGTTATTTTTTGTGTATTCGGCGCGATCCGTTATAATTTCTGATCAGAACGAAACGGGTGGTTTACGCCGATCCGAAACCCGATCGGTGCGCATGATCTGTTCGTTTTTATCTGATGGTGAAAAACTGACCTGACTGCGCATGTGCGACTTTGCCATTTCCGCCTGGCTAACGCTAATAATATTAGCATGTCAGGGAAGTAAAACTGGTCGGTGAGCGACACAACATTTCTACTAGAAACTTTTAAAGAGCTCAAAATGATTTCTATTACCTGTAGCTCAGTCAGGGAGTGCAATAACGTCTCCACCATCATTAAAACCTGTCGCGGGTCCATTTTGGGTGCTCAGGTTTGTTTACGTTCACCCGGAAGTAGAACTTCTTCTTCGGTGGTTTTTTAAGGAGAGTTTACCACTCTGCGCATGTCAGTACTGATGTTCAGAACAAAGCCCGCTGCATGTAAACACTCGTCATGAACAGATTGTGCCCATGTAAACAATACGTTTGAATTATTCAAACAGAACACATTTCAATCCGGTCAAAGAATTCTGTGCATGTAAACATAGCTTCTGACAGGTAATCCGAATGATGCCAAGACCAAAGAGCTGCTGTCTTAAATCAACTCTGATTTCAAATAATTAATGGAGCTTTATGCAGAACTTACAACTGGCATCAAATTTTCATTATACAATTTACGTAGAGGTCCGGGAATATTAGCAACTGCAAATAGCAGCATCAGCAGCTAGCTGCAGCATTTCTGCAGCCACTAGGAACAGTGCTGGCAAGAATACCACGGTAATTTCTGCTGAATAACATCCCAGTGCAAAGTGGAAAGCAGCTATAAAGTTAAGAATAACATCCCAGTGCAAAGTGGAAAGCAGCTATAAAGTTAAAAAAGATCTGCATTTCCATGCCTTACTAAACTAAGCAGGGGCATGCTGCTCCCAGCAAGAAGGTCACTGGTTCAAAACTTGGCTGTAGTGTCCTGTGTGGAGTTTGCATGTTTTCATGGTGCATGTATGCTTTTTTTTTTAATTGATTTTGTTATGTGTACTCCAATTTCCTCCCAGTCCAAAAATGAGCACTCTAGTTTACTAGCTGTTAGTTTGTCAGTCTATTTCTCCAACGTGAGGCTCTTCAAAAAGCTATTGACAACAGGTAAGATATTAATTGTTTATACCATTTCCACATAACTGCACTTAAACAGATTCAAACCATCCCTCCAATGTTGAATCAGAAGTGTTTGTTAGAGCTGAAGCACAATGCTCTGACAGACCATATAGTTTCACTTCTATGTGGATGTTTTTGACCTTAAACATTTATTTATTCAAACAAACGGTGAGATAACTGTATCTTTTATTCTGAATGCTTCCATCACACACTGTGTAAATGTTATTGTGAGCCAGGACGTCGTGGAGACACTGTGGCAGCTAAAACACAAGTGTGGACTGAAGGCTGAAGGAGGGCTGCTGTGAAAACAGAGATTGTGTGTGTGTGTGTGTGTGTGTGTGTGTGTGTGTGTGTGTGTGTGT